GGCCTGTTCTCCATCCTCCCTGACCTGTTCTCCATCCTCCCTGACCTTGTTCTCCATCCTCCCTGACCTGTTCTCCACCCTCCCTGACCTGTTCACCATCCTCCCTGACCTGTTCTCCATCCTCCCCGACCTGTTCTTCACCCTCCCTGGCCTGTTCTCCATCCTCCCTGGCCTGTTCTCCATCCTCCCTGGCCTCTCCCTCCCAGACAGTCTGGGAACCTCAAGGGTTCCACATGCCTGGAAGAAAAGGGAATTCCCTGAAGTGTGAAGTGGTCCTCCTGCTGCAAGATGCCTGCTGCCAGGCCAGACTGTACGTAGAAGCTTAGTGGTTGGCAAAGCCAGAAACCAGAGGGGAGTGTGTTTGGTGGCAGGAACCACTCATCCCAGGAGAGCCACTAGGCCATCAGGCTGACCTCTGATTTTCCTGGAAATTCTTCCCCTAGGTCCAAGTTGCAGGGCTCCTGGAGAGCCAGACTCTCCGTCCTTGGGGTTTGATTTATGGTGGCTTTACCCTCAGGTAGAGCCCTGGCCACACTTGGTTTATGACTCACATCTAGCCTGGATGTGGCTGGTTTTGATTTATGTCATTACATTTAATCATTGACTTAAATTTACTTTTTTAACAAGGTAGCATGCATCTACCTGCAAACCCACAATCCATATATAAGCTAAGATTTGATGGAAACCCTCTACCTGGCCCAAAGGGTCCGTCAGGACACTATCCCTACCATAATCACCTCAACTCTAAGTATCTGCCACCTGAACCTGGTGCCAGATAGGTGCCTTAACATCACTGAATGACAGTGTTGCTGTTGGGGCAGAAAATGTGCAAAAATCCAAATGATGGGTGCAGAGAAGAATGAGGGTTTGGCTGTGCACTGTGTTATGGGTAAGTGAGCGTTACCTATATTTGGGTCCACAAATAAGGAAACAGGTCATATATGCCCTGTCCAGAAGGAGCCCTTTGAAGGTAGAGGTTGGAAAAAGAAAAAGAGAAGAAGGAAGAAGAGAAAGTGGAGGAGGAGGGGAAGGAGGGAGACCCAGAGGCAGTGGTGACTTCCCAGAGTAGTACCTGGCTATGAGGGGTACCACAGTGGAAGGCATTTGGTTCCTGCCCAGTGTAGAGCAGGAGCAATCCAAGAAGGCTTCTCGGTGAAAGTGGGTTCTGCATCTAGAACAGGGTCAGGGCCATGTATGCAGTGGAATATGAGTTAGTAAGTGGAAGATCCAAGTTGGGGACTCCTGGTGAAGTGGTCATGCCTAGCTGAGAAATAACACAGAGAAGAAACTAGAAGGGCTGGGCCCGGTGGCACATATACAATTAGTCCCACTACTTGGTGGTGAAAGCCAGAGGATTCCAGGTTTAAGGCTAGCCCAGATTACAGAATAAATTCCAGGTAATCTAGGCTACATAGGGAGACCTTGAATGGGAGACACGGCTCCCCATTTCTGCACCTGACCATGGTACTGACCTTGAGTTCAGTAGTGGGAAGATGGGGCAGGCTGAGGCTCATGGCATCCTGACAATGACCGACACAAGCCCTTCAGGAGTTGTTGGATCTGAGCTCCTCATCTATCAGATTTGTTCATTTGGAGGTCAGGATCATGGAGCCAGGTGACCCCTCAATCTGCCCCGGTCATGGGGGGCTTCTCTTGACAGCTGGTCGTCTTCGAGCAGGAAAACTTTCAGGGCCGTCGGGTTGAATTCTCGGGGGAGTGCCTGAACCTGGGGGATCGTGGTTTTGATCGAGTGCGCAGCCTGATCGTCATCTCAGGACCGTGAGTACTGGACGGGGAGGGACACTCTCTACCACACTCAGCAGTCACCCCTTGTCTTTCCCTGGCTTCTCTGCACACCCTGGGGGAGGGGTATGGTGCTCCCTCATTGACAGTTGAGAAAACTGAGACTCAGAGATGACCTGGCATTGTAAGGCTACCTTGAAAGGAACCACATGTCCCCAGACATCACCTCTCCCAAACATTTGTAGTGTGAAAAGCAGGTGCACTCATTGCCACCTATAACAGCACCAGGTTGTCTGAGAGAGGGCTACCCCACTCCCCAGTCAACAGACAGGGAGACCTTGGCTCTGTAGGGCTTAGTCAATGGGTGAGGTCACCCACGCTGAGTGGCAGCGTCCACATCTGTCACAGGCTGTTGGGTTTTACTCCCGGTTTTCTGAGAAGCAGAAAACTGTCTCTCCTGGGTTATCTCCATGAACTGAGGCCATTGTCCTCTCTGCTGTTGTTTCTCCACCATGGAATCCCCAAGGGGAATGGCCAGTCAGTGTTTAAAGCATCTCAAGCTGCCCACAGCACAAAAGGAAGGACCAGCTTGGGTTCAAGGTCAGATTGAGATCGGACCTACTTGGGTTCCAATGCTCACTCCTTCCTGTATTTTGTCCTGTCTCCCAGCCTGCTTCCTTGAAGCTGAAACAATAATAATAAGAATGATTCTGAGACAGGGGTTGGCACTGTAGACATCCAAGCATGGCAGGCGACAGTGCTGGCCATCTACCTTCCCCTACTTCCCTGTGGGTCTCAGCAGCACTCTGTGGTCTATGTTCTGTTTTGGGGGCCACTCACGCCTCTCGCGCCCACTCCATCCCTGGTGTGGTCAACCCCAAGTCAGTCCCACCCATTCCCTAAGCCCATCTGGGACAGGAACTGCTGGATGTGGCCATCTTGAGGTTTCAGAATGTTTGGGATGTTGATGACTCAAAGCCAGAGTATTTCTTCTCAAAAGGAGAGAGGGCTGTACCCATGTCCTTTCTTTTCTGTTGTTGCTGTTGTTCAGGGGTTGTGCCCAAAAGGGAAAGACGTGGGACTGAGATCCAGGGGCAAGGGCTCTGTCGGGATCAGCAGGTGTGTGGGAAGAAAAGGATGAAGAGATGAGCAGGAGAAGGAGAGGAGAGACATTACCTGGGAAATCTCAACCTGAAACCCAACACCATGGTTGGGCACCACCTCTCAGGGCTCCTGTCCTCCTTTCCTTGCTTGTGACTCGGATGAGTCACAGGCAATGAGAATGGGCACCGGGACACTTACTTGGCATTTCTCACTGCTGATTGAGTCCTCATGGGCTATCCAAAGAGGAGAGAGGAATGTGGAGGGAGAGGAGGAGGTGACTAGACCACATCTGTCTCGTCTGTCTCGTCTTTACATGAGCAGCAGCTTCCCCTCGCTAGTCATAGATGAGATTACTGTGTGAGCTTCACGTTGAGTCTGCTCCATGAGTTCCCTGGTTTCAGACACTCAAACTTTTCAGAGATGTGCATGCAGTCACTTTTTCTCTTTTACTAATGTTTAACTATCATCCATGATTGCTCCAAGTCACGTGGTGAATAAGTCAATGATGAGCTGGGATTAGAACGTAGGTCTGTCATTTCCCCTAGTCTCTGATCTTCATACCTGTGTGGCACCAGTTTCTGAGGTTCCCTCCCCATCTACACATTCTGTCCACCGCATGTGTCACCCGTTCATCTGTGCATCCATCTATAGGCTAACCCATCAGTCTAGTCTTCATCCATTTCCTTTTATCCATCTTCTATCCCTATATCACCTATTTGTTCATTCATCCAACTATTCAGCTTATCTACACACCTATCTTCCTGTCCTACCAATCCACCTATTCATCCCTCTACTCACACACCTATGCATTCATCTATCGATCCACTTATCTATTCACTCATTCATCCATCCACTTATTCACCCACCCATCAACCCACACATTCATCCATATATTCATTTATCTCCATAACCCACTACCCATCCATCCATACATACATACATACATTTACCCTTCTATCCATCCTTCCAGTGAGCCAGCCAGCCAGCCAGAAAAAATTTTTCTCTTTTTCTCCAGTCTGTTAACAAAACCTCAGTAGTGTTCTTTGAGGACAAGTTCACATCTTTCTTTCTGTCACTTTAATGTGGTTGGTTCATCCCTCAGGCAATATCCTGAGGCTCATGGGATGATTTTTTCTTAGCCCATAATGGTGTCTCCTCATTGCCATCTTTCTGGTGAGAAGATCCCAGTAGCCCTCAGGGAGATAACATGGCATTCCACTGGTTATCTCTTGGTCCCTTAGAATTCCACACACATAGACTGAAGATCACCCCTCCCCCCATAATCTTTGCCCTAACCTTCCTAATCAGACTGTGGTGAAAAATGTCTAATTTTCCCTTTGTGAAAGACCCTTCACATGTGCCATCACGTCATGAGAATTCACCAGGTGCCTGAGACTCGCTGTCATGTTCCGTTTCTGCACCTCCCACCCTAGTCGTGGGCCTCCCGACTACCAGGCTAGTTCTCAGCAAATAGGAATTATTTTTTCTCTCCTATCTGGACTTCTGGGACTACTCACATTTGACTTCCTTTGATTTTGTTTCAGTGTTTGGAGACAGGGTCTCACTATGTAGCCCAGGCTGGCCACAGACATCTTGATCTTGCTGCTTTTCCCTTGTGCTGGAATTGCAGGATGGTGTTTTATTTTAAACAATTCTTTGAACACAAGCTTACACCACTCTAGCAATTTAAAACCTAGTTCCGTTGTTACGGGTACCTGTATGAAGCCTTGCTTTGAGCCCAAAGCAGCACTTCATACCATGACCTGAGGGGCTGGGACCAGTGCCTATTGTTCCCATGCTGGAAAGAAGTGACCAGCAGGCATCAGAATCACATTAGCAGCAAGCAGTGACTTCCCCCCAGTTATTAGTGAGTTTAAAAGAAAATCTTTCCTGGTAAGTTAGTTGGCCCCAGGTCCTTATAGCATCTAAAGTCTGTGTGGATCCCATATTGGCTAAAATAATTTGCTCAGATAATGACAAATAGTGTCTCATTTAATACTTTGCCAACTCCAGAAAATGCTAGTGTAGATGAAGTGATGAAGCCTGGGAGGGGGATGGCACTTATGAAAGTAAGGGGTTTAGCACAGAATAAAGCCCAGACCCATTGGACCCACTTGGGATTTTCATTTTGGTGCCTGGGCCTCTGTGCTGGGGAGGGAACTTGCTGATGTGTTAACCTTCCCGTCTCTGTCCCTCTTGGTCCTTCTTGTGTTCAGCTGGGTGGCCTTTGAGCAGTCTGCCTTCCATGGGGAGATGTTTGTCCTGGAGAAGGGGGAGTACCCACGCTGGGACACCTGGACCAGCAGTTATCGCAGTGACCGGCTCATGTCCTTCCGGCCCATCAGGATGGTGAGTGCCTGGGACTGGGACAGAGGTGAGCAGGGAAGCGTGGTGACACAGGCCCATGGTCCCAGCACAGGGGAGGTGTGGAAGCAGCAGGATTATCAGTTCAGATCTATCCTTGGTTACAAGCGAGACCTTGTTGCAAAAAGAAAAAAGAAGAAGAAAGTTGCGAAGTGACTGAGAAAGGAACTTTGGGCAAAACAGTTGTGACAATTAATGCTGAATTAGCTTTGTGATGTTTAGACCGGTGTAAAGGAGATGACTCTAGATCGTGAAGATAGCCCTGCATGGTGCGTGGTTGTTCCAGAATTATTAATTGATTATGAGTTACGAGCCAGTTACTTCTTACTCACGCTTGCCTGACTCGGGTGGTGCTGACTCTCACCTCTTGAGGTGGGAAATGTCTGTGAAGAAAACGTGTTCATGAAGGCTCACCCAGGACTACCAGGCGTTACTAATGCGTCACTGTGGATTAGGCAGCCAGAGTGCTCTCAGCACGCTGAGAATCCCAGGCTGGAATTCAGTCTTCACAGAGCACAATGTAAGAATGCAGAGCTTAGCTTCAAACCCTGGAAGGCCTTGTATGCCCATCTGTGTAATGGGTGCATTTGCCAATAAAGTTACCACTAGAGCAATGGTTCTCAACCTGAGGTCACAACCCCTTTGCCTAAACTCTATCTCAAAAAACATTTACATTACGACTCATGATAGTAGCAAAATTACAGCTATGAAGAGGCAACAAAAGTAATTTTATGGTTGGGGTCACCACACATGAGGAACTGTACTAAAGGGTCTCAGCGTTAGGAAGGTTGAGAACCACTGATCTAGAAGTTGCTATCTGATATAGTGGGCACTAGCCATTTGTAGCTGCTGTTGTTGTGTGTGTTGCTTTGTGCAGGGCCCCACACTACAGCCCAGGCTTCATATTTCTCCTGGGATTAGAGGCGTGCAACACCATAACCAGATCCTAAGCAGTTGCTGAGCCTGTGAAATTGATCTGGTCTGGATGGCGAAGAGCAATAACATTCTCCTGGTTTTACATACACCACCATACCATTTTCAAGAGCATAAAAGATCATGTTCTCATGATACATTAAAATTAAAATTATGGTTATATTTTAGACATAGATGTTTAGATAAAATATATTAGAAAAATTTTAAGACTCTTACCATTCATCCTCACCCCAGATGAATTAGTTCCGAATCTGTAGGTGCAGCTGGGGGCACCGGCCCCTTTCCTTCACCCCAGCCCCACCCCAGGAAATCTTTTACACTTAGGGAAGTGGCCCAGTTGTCTGATTTGCCATCTGTGTCCCCGTGACTGTCCTTCTCCCGAGCACCTAGCATACCCCACACACATCATTCTTGGGTCCCCGCCTTCCTTTCATCCCACTTTCATGAAATTAAACAATTGTTTCCCAAATCAAACCTGACCATTGGGACCAAATGTGCTGGCTCACACCTTCAACCCAGCACTCAAGCAGCCGGAGACAGCAGATCTCTGAGAGTTTACAGCCAGCCTGGTCTACAAGGTAAATCCCAGGCCAGTCAGAGGTACATAGTTGAGACCCTCTTAGACAGTTCTCGGTGGCCTGACTCTGCCAACTTCACCCCAGGCCCTGGAAGCCCATCAGTAACCAGAAACCTTGGTCTGTGCTGCTTGGGGTAGGTTGGCAGGCGGGGAGACTAGGCCTGGCAGTAAGCAGGCCAGCCAGCACCTGCGGGTGGCTGGAGAACTGGCTGAGCTGGCCCAAGGACAGCTGTAGGGAAAGCTATCCAGGGGCCAGTGAGGTCAGAGTCCTGCAGCAGGTCAGACTAGCTGAAGAAATTACACCCTATCACCTGACTGCAGCAGGAGTGGCCGGGGGTGGGGGCACAGGGTGAGAAGGGGTGTCTGCAAGGGGGGGGGTCCCACAGGGCTTTATGGGGCACCATGAGGTCTCACCTGCATTGCAATAAGGAGCCACAGACTGGACCCTCCTCAAGGTCCTCAAGATGGCAATAGTTATAGGTAATAGTCACTGGCATTGATTGTCTCCTGTGTCTCCATCCCTACCTCACACCACACATCCTCTTTCAAGGATGTTTGCTGTCTATGCCTTCTCTTCCACTCATTGTGACCTCTGCCCTACTTCCCTCTCTAGCTCTCTACTTCTGCTTGACCTACACAGTCCCTCTTAAATTTTCCTTCTCCTTTAACTCCTCCCTTGGTCCACTGCTCTTCCCTCTGGGAGAGCTAACTGACTTATTTCACTTACAGTCTTCCATGTAAGTGTGTCTCACAGAAGGATGTGCTTGTGCCCCCCCCTCCGTTGCTAGGTGACAATGTTGAATGAAGCACCCCTTTAATGAGCACCTGCTGGATGTTCAGCGCTTCCTCTTCCTTTTGTGGAATTTGTAAAGTAGCCCTAGTAGGCAGAAGCCATTACAACACTAATTGTAACAATGAGGAGTCCGAGGCCCAAACATGGAAAATGAAGTTCTTCACGTTGTCAGCAATAGGCTGGGCCTCGCTCTGCCCTGTTGGCTGCACGTTCCCATGGCACTTCACCTCAGTAGCAGAGCACTTGCCTAGCATGTAGCAGGATCGGAATTCCACCCCAGCACTCAACACAGAAAGCAAAATCAACAACCAAAAGAACGCCAGTTCCAGCCAGAACTCTTCTATGCTGACATTCAAGGGTGCACCTCAGTCTCTTCCAGGTCTATCATTCAACCACGAAGTCTCTTACCCACAGTCCCGGGGGTGAAGTGGCAGCAAACCCACTCTATAGGAGAACACACTGAGGCCTGCAGGACAGAGTGAAATGCCCAAGGTGTCGGGCATAAGGACCACAGTTCAGGCTCAAATGCAGATCCACGCTCCATCTGTCTGTCCTTCTACAACCACGATCCATTGCAGCTCACTTGATTAGAATTCATATAAAGAGACATTGAAAGGGCTTCCCAATACCTCAGAAACTGCTGGGAATTGGGGATGATATTTCTCTGAAAGGTGCTATCCCTTGCTGGCTGTGTGCTGTAAATCAATATGTTTGCCCTCTCTGGGCCTCTGTGTTGCTGCCACACATTTCCCCATATGAACTTAAGCCTGTGTGGATGATTCCATTTTATCCTTGGGCACCTGAGATGTAGAAACCATTATCCTCTCTTCCCAGAGGAGGAGGGTCCACACTGGGCAAGCCCAAGAAGTCCCTGGGCTTTCTTCTGCCCACCCCCGCTTCCATTTTTGACTTGTCTTGACCTCCCCAGGACTCCCAGGAGCACAAGATCTGCCTATTTGAAGGAGCCAACTTCAAGGGCAACACCATGGAGATCCAAGAGGATGATGTGCCCAGCCTCTGGGTATATGGCTTCTGTGACCGTGTGGGCAGCGTGACCGTCTCCGGTGGCACGTAAGCAACCAGGTTCTGGGCCTCATAGAAGTGCAGAGAGAGGCTAAGGCCGCCAGAAGTGAATTGTCATATCAGGTCCCTGGGAAAGATCTCATAACCACCCCCCATAAACACATAGACACACGTACAGATTCACTCACAGACACATACAAACACACATATATACAGACATACACTGATACACACAGACACACATACACACCCAGTCACATACACAGAGAGACCCACACATAGATATACAAAGACACACAGACACACACACAGGCACACACAGTCACATACACATAGATATGCACAGACACACACACAGACACACACACAGTCACATACACATAGATATGCACAGAGACACACACACACAGACACACACACAGTCACATACACATAGATATGCACACACACACACAGTCACATACACATAGATATGCACACACACACACACAGTCACATACACATAGATATGCACACACACACACACACACACACACACACACACACACACACACACAAACACAGAGTCTTCCAGGACAGACTGGGTCCTGGGGTTCTGCCAACAGATCACACGTTTCTGTGGCACATGACAAGTTCCACCTCCATCTACATACTAAAGCCCACAGTGGAGAGAACTCTCAGCTGCTCAGGAATAATGTGGCCCTGGCCAGAACTGATGTGGACAGAGGGCAGTTCCAGCAGAGGTCCCTAGGTGAGATGGCACTCTGTCTTCACCTGAGGGCTGCTGGCTGCACAATAGTGGTTGAGGCTTCCTCATCCACCCTAATTCCTGGCATCTGAGGTTCCCAAGCAGAGCCCTTTACCCTACTTCTTCAAGAACCTAGGGAGGATCAGGGGCCGTGTCTCTAGTCATGGACCCTGTGGATGAGTGTCCTTTTCGCCTTTCTGTTGTGCTTCCAGGATGGTAGCCTTTTCCTAGTCCCCTTTACCTTTGCCCTGAACCTCATCCATTCCTCTCAGAATTCTGAGTCTTGTCTGAGAGCCTGCCACATGCTGGGCACACAGAGGGAAGGCTGGGACTGAGGCCACTCCCTGCTTAGAGGGGTTTCCTCTGCCCAGCACTAGAGACACCAGTGTGCTCTGTACAGTGTGGACATGGTCCAGCCTTGGCTGCCCACTTGTAGCAGTGTAGAAGGAACAGGACGGGATCTGGCTCTTCCTCTACAGAAACCAACGGGCAAGCAACGGGTCAGAGAAGGGCTTGGAAAGACCTGACTTGTGTTCAGGCAAGGATCAAACGTAGTGTGAATCGCTGACTGCCCCTTTGTTTGGTGAGGGAACCTCTGTGCTGCACTCAGCCATCAGAGGAAATGAGTCCCCATCAGAAACGGAGCGAGTAGCATCACTGCCATCACCACTCCCAGAGAGTAAGCTAAGGCCCACAGGGCTCAAGTTCTGAACTTGACTCTAGGTTATTTATCTGACACTGGACAGGGCTTACAGTAGCCAGAGAGAACCCCACATATGAAGGACCACTCAGGTTTGGAGATATGGCTCTTGATGCCTTGTCCTCATTGCTGGGAGCTCAAGATTCATGTATTAAATTCCGTCCTTCCTGGACCCATTCATGTGGACTTACTGCCTACAGTGGGGGCATTCATTTCATCTGGTCCCCAAGCATACTCAAAACAGCAGCCAAGTGACAGTGCCCCTTTTCAGAGGAGAATCTACTGAGGCCTACCGGAAACGGGAAGGCCATGTCCCAAGGCGTGGGGCTGGAAAGGCCAAGCCAGGCAGGTGTGTGGACCCTCCTGGGACACTAGCTGTAAGATGGGTAACAAGAGAGAGGTTGGGGAAGAGGGAGGACCCTGGCTGTCTCTACACCTTTCCCACTCTCTTCCCAGATGGGTCGGCTACCAGTACCCAGGCTACCGCGGCTATCAGTATCTGCTGGAGCCCGGCGACTTCCGACACTGGAATGAGTGGGGCGCCTTTCAGCCACAGATGCAGGCTGTACGCCGCTTGCGGGACCGCCAGTGGCATCATGAGGGCTGCTTCCCGGTGCTGGCCGCAGAGCCTTCCAAGTGAGCCAAGCTGCACTCCTCCCCGCTGCAGCCCTCCCTGTCTCAAACTATCCCATCTCCTCCTGCTAATAAAAAGTTCCTACAGCCGAAATACCCTCGGGTCTATGAACAGTGTGTGCCCACCTGCAACATCTATTTGTAGTAGCAACTAGAAAAATCAATCATAAATACAGAAATCTCTTCAAAGATTTTTTTTATTTTTGAGGAGGGAGCAGGTCTTATGTCCCAAACTTTCTTCAAGAGTTTCCTGTATAATCAAGTATGACCTTGGTTTTCTGCACCCCTTGTATAGTGAAAGATAACCTTAAATTTCTGAGCTGCCTTCTCCTTAGAGGCGTGAGCTACTATGCTGCCTGGGATTGAAGTCAGGATTTTGCACATGCTAGGAAAGAGTTCTACCAACTGAGCAACATCCCCAACCTATTTGCTTGTTTGTTTATTTAATTATTTATTAAGACAAGGTCTAGAGACTCTTGAGATGGCTTAGTGGTTAAGAGCACTGGCTGTACTTCTAGAGGACCTGGGTTCAATGTCCAACACCCACATGGGGGCTCACAAACAGCTATAGCTTCAGTCCTCAGGCATCTGATGCCCTTTTAGGCTTCCACAGACCCCAGGGATGCTTGTGATGCACAAACATTCATGCAGACAAAACACTTATGTACATAAAATATGTGTGTGCATATATATACATATATATACATACATACATACATATATATATATATATATATATATATATATATATATATATATAAAAGACAAGGCCTTGCTATGTAGCCCAGGCTGACTTTGACTTTGGGATCCTCCCACCTCAACCTCAGAAGTGCTGAGATCACCGGGTTTACCACTGTGCCTGCCTGCTAGAGTCATCACACACAGCTCCCTGTAGCTTTCAGCCTACTTTAGATTAGTGTTATAATCCTTCCAGTCGAACACGTGAAGGATAGCAGGCCCAGAGATGGGAACAGACTTGCCCAAGACCGCACAGTGAGTGACTGCACTCCAATCCAGGTGATCTGGCTTCGGGGCCTGCCCGGCAAATACTCATCCTCCCCAGGTGACTCTCTGCTTGACTTGCAAATGTTCTAGAGTGCATTTGCACTTGGAACATTCAATAGACTCGTGGATTTGTAAATAAAACATTATTATAGCACTCCAGGAAGCAGAAACTCAACCTCAGATACTATGGACGGTAGGCAATCTCACGAAGAGAGCAAAGGCAGTGTAAAGAGGGCTGTGTGTTAAGTCCCAGCAGCAGCTACAGTCTCCTGGACTCTAGCTCACTTGCCCTTGACATGAGTCAGTCGCTGATTAGCAAGTGTCGAAGAAAAGCACAA